AACGGATTAACGGTAATTATATTGAACCTTATGGGGAAATTTCCTTCGGGTTGCAACCAATTCGGGGTGCGACCAGAATCACGGAACGAATTAAATTCGTAACCCAAGGTTCCACTGTATTATTAAATGTGTAAGAAGTAGCCCTATTATCATACATTTTAAAAAATGTAGTTCATTTCTACCAACTGTCACTAAATCTTCCCAAACTGGTATCCTACAAATTTGTTGGGTCAGAAACTCTCAGAATTCCCATCCTAGTGTGGCTGTTGATTGCAAATCTGGGGATCAAGAGGGCACTAGATTAGGGAAAGCTGCTGTAGGTTGAAAGGAATGCAACTAGGAAAACCTAGTTTTCCTTACGCTATATTTCTACAGTGTAATACGTATTCATAAGGTAAGTGAGAGGTAAAACCAAGGCTAATATGGACTTCCAATTAAATTCTTCATATCTCTCAAGTTCTTCTTTGATCCAGAAGTGAGTTGCATAAAAATTCCTTGTGTTCCATTAAATGTTCAAATAAGATTAGACCCAAGCTGTGCACAGATTGTCTTAATGCTATTTTTTTTCCCCCAGTTTCATCAGACATTGGCTCAGGAAACATACGCTCACAATGGATGCTGCCATGTATTGCTCCAGAGCCCATTTAGGAAGTCTGCATGACACTACATGTCAACTTTTTAAAATATTTGCTTATTTGTACGATTATAAAAGCAGTAACTACTTACCATCTTCAAAAACTGCCCCAATTTGAAAAGACAGTTCAGAACTATGCTCTGCTTCACATGGATACACTGCTCTGGCTTTTCTATTGACAATACTGAAAAAAGTTGCATGATTATTTTACAGATCCTCAATTTTGTATGACAATAAAAGGAAATAATATTGATTCTACTCATATAGGCAAGAAAACCACTATATTTATATATGTATTTATTTTTATCTACAAAAATAATGATCAGCCCTTAATGCAGAAGATACAAGACCACAGAGCAAGAAGAAACCTATGGTTCAAGGGCTTCATGTACCTCCAAATGCATTTCTTGCACTGCTGAAATTGGCAGCACTTTTTCCCACTGATAATCAATAGTCCTGTTTGCTTAATGTGTTATTTGAAACATAGAAAACTGCTATCTCAACTGAGATAGTGTAAAAGTTTTTGTTCAGAAGAGGGATTAGTGTTTTGGGAGGCTTCACTCCCAGCATGCACATCTTTCACCATTATTCCACCCATTTTCATTCACTGACTTGCCCATAATTGGCCTTCCCTGCAAGCAAATTGCAAAATGTGCAGAAGCCTGTTTCCTGAAGGTCACTAAACTTATTTCTACATTTCAGTTGGCATAATTGGTTTGGGATTTTATCTATATTCTATTATTTCTTTATTCTATCTGTAGCTAAAAATCAAATTTGCATTTAAAGAGCTGATCAGGATACACTCATTCTAGTATTTGACATATTAAATAAAAACAGTATTTTGGCTGTTAAACACTAAGAAACTGAAAACCATTATAATAATTTTCTCTTAAAATTACAACTGTTATATTTACATGAATGGGAAAAAGCTGCCATCCAAGTACTTGCAAAAGAAAGTTTAAACATATTATATACAGAATTTTTCATTAAATATGTGAAATCAGTACAGGTGGTCCTCATTTAGTGACCACTTGTTCAGCAACCATTTGCACGCGCAACGGCACTGAACAAGTGTAGTTTCGGCCAATCCTCAAAGTTCTGGCTGTTGCAGTACTCCCGCAGTCATGTGATCACAATCTGGGTGCTCGGCATCTGGCTCTTGATTACAATAGTGCAGCGTCCTGCAGTCATGTGATCGTGATTTATAACATTCCCTGCCAGCTTCCCACAAGCAAAGTAAATGGGGAAGGCAGCTGGAAGTCAGAAATCACGATCACATGAAGTCCTTGCTTAAAGACCTGCTCGGTCCTCATTTAATGAACTGGGGACTGCTGGAACTGCCATCGCAGCAGGGTCACATGACATCACACTTTACACATCACTTAGTGATGGAAATTCCAGTCCCAATTACTGTTAAGTGAGGACTACCTGTGCAATGAAAACTTCTCCTCTTGTTATATTATACTATTGCCAATCAGTTTTTATATCTTTCTTTATTTCAGCAATTATCTCAAAATTAAACATCTTTCATTCCAGCTGTAGAATCTGAAATGGTGCATTTTTTAAATCCTTAGCAATGTTTGGTAAAATTTATTTTATCTCATTGTCTTAATCTGGTTACAAAGCAAAGTTACATGAAGCTTCCTTATTTTCTCTGTAAGACTTAAAGAATGACTCCTTTTCCAATGATCATGGTGAATACAAAGATTTTAACTCAACAATATTCCATTATCCTGCTTCCCATTCTCAAATGTGGTTTGTATGCAACTCAGAATTTTTATCTTCCTTGGTCAGGCCTGCATACTACGGAGCCTGACTTCCATATTTTGTTCACTAGGACATGACTGACCAGGTGGATTTTCAGTGGACAAAGATTTGGCTGGGAAATTACAAGCAAATTATATTCTTAAAGCTATTATTGTATCCTGACAGAAAATTTCACTCAATGTGACCAGAGTTGCACCTTGTTGCTAAGGCCTTATGCTTTCCTCCAATCTGAATATTCTGCTCTGTATAAAGAGTGGAAATACGATTTTACTGCAGTAAACAGTTTAACTGTAAAAGAATAATTATGTCTATGCAACTGTTATAATAGAAAAGAACAGTCCTGTTTCTATTATATAATACGAGGCATAAATTACAGTGAAAATAAAGTAAATTAATATTCCAATATTACCTTCCAACTGGTCTGTCAGTGTCTGTAGCAGGAGAGGGAAATGAAAATGATGGATTTATTGTGACTGGACTTTGTGCTGTAGGTGACTTTAGATTCATCCAGGAAACCATTGATGAATGAATCTCGCTGGATCTGAAACACATTTTATGAGAATAATTAATGCAGCCCTTTATTAGTTCTGAGATTTATGAAATCAATGAAATTATTGATTTCAGTCATTATAATGCATGTTTTGCCATTATGTCTTCTTAAACATGACATCAAACAACTTTTAGCTGTTTTCTGCTTTGCTTTATGAGAAATACAGTCTTGCTATTGAGAAATCACTGCAATGCACTTGTTAAGTATGCTTCCAGATATATATGAGAAGTTCAGGGGAGAAGTCAAGATAGCAAGCTGTGCATGTATGTTTCCTAAACTTTGCTCCTAGACATTTTATTCTATTATTTTTATTATATATATATTAATTTTAATTTAATTTTATTTCTTATGAAAAATTTATGGTCAGCAATGAGACAAATCTTATTTTTGAAAAAGGTATTGTGAAACCTTTTTTTGTGAAAGAGTGTGCCTCTCAAATATTTATTAGAAAATTTTCTTTCCTGTTTCCCTTTTAAAATAGAAGATTGAGATTCAGCAATAAAAACATTAAATTAAATTGCTGTATTTAGCTTACAAAACAGTAATTCCTGAAAGATAAACAGTACAGTAAGATTTTCAAAAAGTATTGAAATGAAAACATGGTAGCTTATTCGAAAAAATAATAATTAGGGATGAATGTAGAAAACTACTAAAAAAGAAAAAATATTTGTCAAAGTCATTCTTCTTTGCAAGGAATTATGGCAAGGTATAATTCAACGTCTGAAAGGATAAGTTGGAAACTTGACAAAATTAAGTTAGACATCTTAACTGATATTCAGGAATTAAATCCTAGAAAAGGAAAGTGTATTGGATGTTATCTGACTTGTTGCCAAGGTAACCTTGCTAAATTGGGTCTCCTTATCTCAAGAATCAGTGAGCAAGGAAAGCAGAAGACAAAGGCCAAGGGAAGAATTTACACCAACTTTTGGGCAAGTCCAGTTTGTTCCACAGAACAGCCACAGCCTGTAGTTGTCAAGAAATCTGTTTACAAAAGGCATACAACTCCATGTGGTTTAAAAATTCTATCACTATACATTTAGACTGAATAAAGAAACAAAGAAGTAATTGTTCCTTACATATAAAATATTCTACATTGAATGGGAGCATATGCTGTTAGATGAAAACAGGAACAGAAAGATAATGAATTTTCTTGGAAGACTTTAACCAATATTACTTGAGTAATGACTGGGTGATATATTTTAAGGGCAGTAGTTCTTTATTTTGATTACAGGAAGAAATACTTCTTGAGAGTGGAAGACAGACCACTTACATATAAGAACCAAAATATGCACAAATCCACACTTACAGAGAAAGACATAACCAGTCTACACTGCAATAGCATGTTGTTGATATATGAACTTCCAGTGAATCAGGTATATTAGCATAATGATCTTTGATGCCGGTTTCTTAATCTGTTTAAGCATAATGATGGATGGATGGATGGATGGATGGATGGATGGATGGATGGATGGATGGATGGATATATAGATAACAGACACCAACTAGCATAAAAATAGTACATAAAATCTGCAACCAATCCAGTAAAGACTATATTACCCATACAGCATCATAAAACTGATAAATAATAAAAACAAGTCTAAAATTAATATGATGTATATAATTCTTGATTTCTGTCTAAAGAGCTTGAAAAAGTTAAGCACTTTAATTTTCTTGTTAAAAAAATAAAGGTACAATTACTTATTCTACCAAGTTATTTATTTATCATAGCAGAATACTGACTACTGCTTTTTCCAACCTGATGCTCTCTACATATTTTAAATTTCAACTTAATTGGGGGGGGTGGAGGGAATATACCAAGAATTAAAAGATTGTTCTTCAGTAATTAATGAAAAAAGACAGGAAAAATACTTTAGGTGTACTTCAAAAGAGAAGAATTGTGTTTTACAGCAGTTATCCTATAAACTTAGTATATTTTCAACAATAATACGTAGGTTTTGAAACTTACATACTCAGTTGAATTAAAAATAAAACTAGCTTCAGTACAATTAACTAGGATTAGCAAAATTATTTAAAAACAGTAAAACAGAGTTGTAATGATAATATAATAATAAAATTTTAAAAATCCTTCTTCATCTCCTGGTAAGACAGAAATGCTGATTGTAAATAAGAAACTGGATACAGGGACTGAGGTTCAGCCTGCTTTTGAAAGGGCTGTACATTTCTGGAAAGAGCAGGTTCACAGTCTGGGAATTTGACTTGATTCCAGTCATCACTGAATTCACAGGTGTCAGCTAGGCACCTTCACAAAATCCTTTTCTGACCTGGTAGCATTGGTAATGTTTAGTCATGCTTCCTCCTGCTTTGATTATTGTAATATGCCTCACAGGGGACTATACTTGAAAAATATATGGAAATTACAATTGGCATAAAATGCGAAAGCTAGGTTGCTACCTATATAACAATCCTAGGATGACTATACCAAAAGTTCTGCAGTAGCTGCTATAATTTAAGGCGCTGGTATTAAAGTCCTACCTGGCTTAGGGCGTGCCAACCTAAAGAACACCCTCTCCTGTTGGAAGCCTATCTGAATCTTGTTAAGATTCTCAGGAAGTGCCCTGTTGAATGTGCCCCCACTGTAAGAGGATCATCTTTCTACTGTACCATGTTGGAGAGAGACCAATTCTGCACTCCCAAGACATGGCGTGGATCCTTTGAGTTTAGAGACTCTGCAAACATGTATCTCTTCCACAATCATTGATTTTTTAGATGATTTTACAGATATTTTATTTTTTTCAGTCTGTATGTGTAATTTATATTCTGGTTTTATTTTAAAATTTTGTTAGCCATCTTGATATAAATCAAATAACTTAATAAATTCCTTTACTTTTATAAGAACTGAGCTGAATTATGTAAACTTCTACCAATTCCAATGAAACCCTAAAAGAACATTATGTGCTAAAGAGAATCATTGTATGCTAGCTAAGTTAGAGCATCTTTACATGCTTTGTAGTACATATCCTATTTCCATTTGACACAGGAAACTTGAATTATGCCACACTGTAAAGATTATGGTTTTTTTAATCTGTTTATTTTCTTCTAACATTATTTGAACTTGGTTTCATTAATTTGGTGCATTTTCTTATATTTCCAAATTTTAATAAAATAGCATCTTTCCATTTTTATCATGTTGAAAGTTTAAAAATTAACAATATACTGAAATTCAAATTAATATTTCTCGAATTCAACAGCGTCCAAAATATTGAATATGTTGAATACTGAATATATTGAATAATATATTGAATATTATTGAATAAAATATTTACATGTTTTATTTAAGATCACATTATAATGTATTTAATACATGGATTTCACTTCAATTTTACCTTTACTTGCATGCTATCATGAATGACATGAACACATGTCAACTGAAATTTGTATATATAATATTGAAGAAAAAGTTATATAGGAAATTTGTCATGTATGAATCACACTGACTGTAGGCTTGGCAAAAGGAGAACACTTTTATAAACCCTGAAAGTGTAATCAGGTGAGATCTTTCTCATAACTATAATGGTAAAATTTTAATAAGGAATCCACTTAGATAGGCTTTCTTTTGAGTGTTCTAAATGGCAGTAAAAGATTCACTCCTTTAAAAAGTGAATTGCACTTTTTACATAAATCTTAACCCAGAATAGAATGTTACCCTGGGATGCACTACCAAAAACTCTATGCAACTGCACGGTCTTCAATCTTCCACTGTGGCTGCCACTGTGATTCTGCATTTTTCTTTTCCAAATGATTGCATTCAGAGGTAAACTTTTAGATTTAATATTACTGGGAGTGGGAAGGAGAAAACGTTGCTCTGCAGGCAATGCTTTTCTTCCTAAAAGCTTCATGTTAATTACCAAAACGCTTTGTGCTTCTCTGCACTTTCTAAAATATGAAGATCCTTATAAAATTTACAAAATGCAAATAACAAAATAATGCCCCTTTTATGACCAGTAGTAACCAAAATAATAGTGGAACGAGTTCTAATGAAAATCTGTGGATTAATTAGGAATCAGTTGAAGTACTGAGAGGAACATAAATCCTAGTGATTCCATGGATATGCCCATGTTGCTTTCTTGGCAACAATATGGAAGTGACTGACCATAACCTTCGTTCAGCATGGGTTCTTTTGGGGTGGGAAGGACTTTACAGTATAGTCCATAACTCTGGATTTTCGGGTGGTTTCTTCTACAAGAATTAAAAAGGTACAATCCTGCTTAGCTTTTCCAAGATTAGCCAAGCTCATCCAGCTGCTGTCTCCTGCTCTGACAATCAGGAATAAAACACTTACGGCATCATGTATGTTGCTGAGGGACAGAGGGGTTGGACTGAACAGATGCACAGAACACTTATTTGTTGTGTGGTCTGCTAAGGAGAGGAAGACTTATGAAGCAAATTTTTAATTTTATGGGTTAGGGTTAACCCTAACCGTAACCCTCTATGCAAGAAAGATACACCCAAGGTCACTACTAAAATAGCCCAATATAATTTCAGCTATTGTTGTCTGGCTATATGTTTAAAATATATAGTGATAAGTACTTTTTTTACTGAATTAAATGTTTTAAAAGACATTTTGAAGGACCACCAAGCAATCAAGAACTTGCAACATCGTTTTTACTAATTAAATCTAATGAAATCACCTTAACTCTTTTGTATTTAGAGAATCCACTTGAAAAGGAAATAACAAAATTGCTTTCCACATTTTTGGTACTTACAAATGCTTTAACTAAGACAAGAAATCTGTACTTTACAAGTTTTTTGTACAGCAGATAGGCTCTGAAACAAAAATTATGTTACTTACAGATTGCCACTGTCAGTTATGAGATTATTTTTCTCGGTGTCTTGAGGGGTGGTAGGAGCAGCAGTTGTGGGAGAGTGAGAAGACAGGGAATCCATGCTACCTGAGCGCGTGCATTCTTTGGGAGGACTAAGGTTGTCACCTGAAGAATAAATATTATTTAACTGCTTTCTTTTTAAAAATGTATCATCGTTATTATACAAAGTATAAGGCACAGAATATTTGCTCTGAAATCTCTGACTTTTGTGAAAAATATTATATTATAAAGATTACAGTCATTTGCGCTATCTTAACTTACAAGTCATTTAAGATAAATGCATATTTAAGAATGTATGAAACTGCTGTACACTGGAATTGAAGGAGAATCATGAACAAACTTTTAAATCCCAAACCCTTGTTCTTTAACACTATCACTCGCAGACGGCCAGCTATCAACATATTCGTTTTAATATCCAAATAATCATCTTAATATCGGGCTTAGCAACATGAATATGCTTGATTATTTTTTTTCTTAACAATTATCAGTAGAATGTATGAACTGGCTACACTAAATTAATTCAAGTTGAAGCAATGTTGGGATATACCAATGTGTAATAAAAATATAAAATTATGTAACAAAATCTTTTCACAGATACCTTGCAAAAGACTTCTTGGCTATTTTTAAGGAAATCATTCTCTTAACATTTAAAGGAAAGTGCACACCACTTCAAAATTTTATCTGAAAGTGTATCTTTCTAGTACTTTTATTTAGATAAATGTGCAGTAACAAAGTTTACATAATAAGATATATAAAATTAATCATACTAGATTTAGACTTATTTTGCTGTCTAGTACAACAGATCTATTACATTTTATATGCATTAGTTACTCTAAGCTGATTTTTTTAGATGTTTCCTGCTGTGCATCCTTGCATGACATTACAAGACCTTGTAGTAAATTAGATTGTGTGATAATCCTACATCTAATTTTCAGACACAAAACTCACAGCAGAAAACACACATTCTAGAAGAATATACTAGTAAAATGCTAACTTTTTAAATCTATTCCACTTATTAATTTTTGTAACATAGATTAATATTCATATCTAAAATTGTACTAATGTGAAACCTGCAGCATTTTTTTTTTCATTCCACAGGCAAAGCACTCTGGAAAAGCACTGAAAAGACATGGATCCTAATTCTAAGCTATCAGTTCATTTTCAGTTTCCTGGGAGGTACGTCAGCTGACAGTGATGCTGGGGAGGAGAGAAACTACCTAGCCAGGTTGAGGTAAATCTTGCACAGCATGGCTGTATATAATTTTGAGCAAGCTGCTTCTCTTCCAGCATCATCTCATGATATTCTGGAATGTTGCTTCACTGGGGGAGGATGTAAGGATGTAAAAAAGGCTGGATGGAAGATGGAATGGTGCAAAAGTCTCCTTGTGTAAGCTTCCTTCCTTCTACAATAAACATACAAGGAAGATGCTTCATGTATACTTTTGCAGCTATTATTACAATGGTAATCCAACCATGTTCAGTTATAGTTATACAGATGAAGATGGTAATCCCTATCTGAAGTAACTATCAAGAGCTAAAACTAAAAAATTATACATACTCTTATCTGGGAGTAAGTTCCATTAATGTTGTAACTAGCATGGCTTTGAATAGCAAAAAATGACTGCATTAGTCTCTTCTGATTTTCATCAAAGTAAGTAGACTATAGGCTTAACAGTGTGCAATTGTGAAGAGTCTGCCAAAACTGAAATTAAAGTTTAACAAATATTTCTTAACTCTACTAGTTTACATTATTATATTAAAATGAAATTATAGAATTAGCTGTCCTGAAATGTCTGGATAAGTTTTTAAAACTCACACTGTATTAGATTTTGACACCATTATGATGCCAAGAGCAAGTCCCATTTCAGAAAGTTTAAAGGAAGATAACAGGAATTAGATCATGAAGCAAAAGACAAATTAGGTTGCAGTGTCAATACAAGTCAAATAAAATTAATTTATAATATGAAGCAGCAGTTACATCATAACAGAACCAGACATCAAAAGACAAATCTTTTTCTTTTCTATATACAAAACAAACTGAGAGCCTAAAGAAGAAATCTGCAAAGGAGGCATTTTGTGTATCTGTTGATATACAGCTTTGCTAGCCGATATTAACATAGATCTAGAGTGGAATCACAAAGACAGACAAACGCTTGGAAAAAAATTGGTCTAAAGAAACTGTCAGAAAGCAGCTAAATGTCACTCAAGTGTTACTCTGATAAGACAAAAACTGATGAATTATTGACACTAACGATCAGAACGGAATGGTGAATGAAAGAAATACCAGTTAAGAGGAACAATAAAGAGTAAGATGGGAGAATAGAGAAAAGTACATTTTAAATTAGAACCAGCTGTTATTGGTAATTCAAATCAAAATTGTTCTTATGAGTTGCTGAACTATTCCTTAAATAAACAGGTATTCTCACATTCAAGTCAGTACATCTGACTCTATATGCTGCCTTTGAGCAACAGTGAAAAGAAGAGCACGGTCCTATTGTTCTTTTCAGCTCAGTGCATAGTGGCAACAAGTTATATAGAGAAGCACAAGAAAAAACTCAATCCAGTGACATCTAAAGAAGCACTTAACCCAATGACACAGGATTAATGGGTACATCACAAAACTACTTTCTCTTCCAAAATATCAACTGTAATAATCCAATCATGCTTCCATCTGTAGTTGAGCTGAAATACATTGCACAGGAATTCATTTCACAATGCAGAAGACAGCTACTTAACCCAGTGGGCTACATCCAACCTCTGTAGGTCGAGCATTTGCAAAAATCAATTTGTTGTGGCTATCCGAGATCACAGAAGACATTTCTATATATGCGTGAATAAAGCAACTTTATTAAAGTTAAATGGGCAGCATTTGGACTAAGTTCCAAACAAATTCTACTTACCAGTACTCATGGCTCATTCTGAAAATTATATGCAGTACTGTGCAAAAGTTTTAGGCAGGTGTGAAAAAATGCTGTAAAATAAGAATGCTT